ACATGTCTGAGCCTATCAGCGTGTAAAGTTGACTGTGTTGCATAATTGCGCTTGGCGCAGCACCTCTTTTCAGAATATCGTTCTCCTCCGTCACTTCGTAGTCACCGCGGTGGGGCTGAGGCACGAGGTTTCATGGCCTACTGGTGGATTATATAAGGTATCACCGGAATAGGAATTATCCCTGTGAATATTAGCGCTTATCAAGTGAGTTCACTGTCTGGAGTCTCTCTTTTGAAAATGTTTTTGCTAAAAACATTACATCCATCATTATTTGCGAAGAATTTTTTTTCCGAAGCCTAGTATTATAAAAACAAAACTCAAGTCGAGCAGCGCTAATTACTGACAGACTCATTAATTATGCATGTGTAACATCGGGGACGAACCAAGAGGCGTGGATCTCATCGAATGCCGGTGCAGCAGAATATCTGGTGTTTTCTTATTACAGCTCAGATGCGTTTCTTAGTGCCACTAATGTTAAAATGCATACTTAATTCTCCCCTTTGTCTTCGTTGATCCTTCTTATTTTCAGTCATGGAACTAAAGTATTTCCAGTCACTGTAATGGAAGATGCAAGATAGGTAACTCCTCCAAATCCTTTCAGCTACAGCATAAATTTGTTTCGCCATTAGTGTTTTATTTGGATAGTTTTCATCTCCCATGCATTCGAAAGCCAGAGAAGTGAGAACTGTAAATGCTGATCCCAGCATTGGTCCAAAGGTTGATCGCGCAAAAAGGAGTGGATTGTGTGACAAGGGTGACACTTTCCCGGTCATTTGGCCTCACGACTGAACAAGAATAAAATTTGGCTATTTTAAACGAGTAGAATCAAACGCAAACTCGACAAAGCGGCTATATTTTCATTCACTAGTATTGGTGGTGGTTAATTATATATCCAATGGAAAATGTAAATGTCTCCTTTCCGTTAATGGAACACAGACTTTCAAGATTGAGGTTTGTCTTTAAACTAAAGCTAAGCTAGAGACATCCTACTGGAGGTAATAAAGCCTAGAAAATAATAATTTGTTTCCTTGGTCTAGATGTGTTTCCTTAAGACGCTTTGGGGAATTAATGCGGTTTCCCGATTTAAATGGATAAAGCAAATGCGTAACTGACCTCAAGAAACTGACCTACTAGGCACGAAAAGGCTGCATGTTTAATGAACAATTGAGAAGTGCATAATGTAAGGACTTAACGACGTTGTCATTCGTTAAGAAGAGA